GGTGTAGTCGGGCCATGAGGAGGACGTGGGAGGTCCGAGAAGCTTGAAGATCATGGAGATGAGCTCCAGCTCGGATTTTGCTTGGAATAGAGGCTCCTTGAGGAGTAGCTCGGCAAATATGCAGCCGACAGACCAGATGTCTATCGCAGTGGAATATGTAGTGGCACCCAATAAAATTTCGGGCGCTCTGGACGAGAAGTCAGAGAAATTCTAGGGGAGAGGGCAGGGCTTACGCACCGATACCACAAGGTCACGACGAGCTGAGTAAGCCCACCTACGCCAACCGGATCTCCGTAGCGCCTGGCGAGGCCAAAGTCTGCGACCTTGATAGTGCCCCGGTTGTTCATTAACAGGTTGCTCGTCTTCAGGTCACGATGCAAAATCCAATGGTAATGACAATGAGACACGGCTGATAGAAGTTGAAGCATCAGAGTCTTGATCTCCGACTGTAGGAAGGGCGCAGGCATAAGCGTGATCAAGGTCTTGAGATCATGCTCGATGAAATCCATGACGACAAAGACCCTTGCACGCGAAGCACGCGGATATGGAGACAAGGTCTATTGGAATATAGGTAGTCATACCAATAATGGACGGCACGTACTGTGTTAGGGTATCGCCGACAACTACTTCGCGAATGTTCACCACGTTCTCGTGGCGACATGCCATGAGAGCGTTAACCTCCCTCAGCGCAGTGATCGGAAACCCGTGCTTCTCCTCGTCCAGCTTTAGCTTCTTGAGGGCCACGATGTCGCCCGTCTGCTTATCCCGCGCCCGAAAGACTACGCCGTAAGAGCCTTCCTCGATTTGGTTGAGCCTTTCATAGTTGTAGACGGAGCGGGCTGGCCGAAAGGATGGATAGAGAATTCTGGGAGGAGCGTAGATGCTATGGCGTGGCCGCGCTGAAGGCACAAGTGGTTTGGCTAATGGTCCAGTGGGAAGTGGAGGTGTATGAGATGAGTCTGCCAGTCTCGACGCTTGCGTCTTTGACTTGGATCGGCGCTTTGGAGGGAGCGATTCTCGCGCCTGAAGCAACTGCTCGTCAGCATCATCCAATGTTTGTTCCCATCTGGAACGTTTGCGAGAGGGAGTAGAGGACTCGGCTAGATGAGACATGAGCGACGAGCTGTATGCGCGGTTGAACTGCACGTGAACGTTTGAACTCTCGCTGCCGCCGTCACGTCACGTCAATCGTCCAGCTGGTTGTTTGTTGTTCCTGTGCTAAAGGCTCTACAACAAGCACCTTGACTACTCTGAAATCAGAACAGCTTCACAAGATAGCAGCACAAGCGTAGCCATACCCGCCGCCTCGCTCTGTTATGATAAGTATGTTATAACTGTTATTACGTACCACTTGCACTCCCGGTCAACGCCGAGATTACACGTAAACCTATACGGTGACATACTTTCGCGACGTTGCGTATCTTTCACGACTCGCGCATTATGGACACAACAGCAGATAATGGCCAACTGAACGAGCAGTTGCTGCGGCTATTAGGCGAAGATCTGCTTCGAGTCAAAAAGGAACTGTCCGACACCCAGGCAGTAACTATCTGGTCTATCCGTCCAGTCTACGCACATTCATAGTTGTCTGTTCTTGGTAGGCACTGGCTTTCGAGCGGCGTTCCTCAACTGCAGGCGGGATTCATAAAGAGTCGCTTCATTTACGAGAAGAGTTGGAGGCCGCCAATAGTGAGAGAGACGCGCTGAAAATTAGAGTCCAGGAGCTATCTGGTGCCCATCGCTATGAAGACGCGAGCCCCCTTCATGACCCAGCAGGTATCTCCGACCTTGGCAATGTGGGTGACTCGAGAAACGATTGCTGAGGTCGAGCCGCTGACAATCCTATGCCACTTGCAGCTGAGAATGGAGGTCGCCGCTCTGAGTGCCAAGATGGAAGAGAAGAACGCGGCCGAGGAACACTATGTTGGTCTCCATTCATTGCATTCAGGATTCGCCTGCTGAATTCTTCCCTTTCAGAATGAAAAAAATTACCAGCCTGAAGGAGAAGGTAGCTGCTCTTCGCACGAAATCCAAGGATCGTAAAGCGACATGTAAAGAGCTACAAATGGTGCACTCATGTCATCTGCATAATATTCTACACATTTTACCGCGATTTCTAGCGACTGGATGAGGCACTGGCAGATCGGTCCGCAAGCCAGGTCCGTGCCCACCTCGTGTCTCATTAATCGTGCTAACTAAATGGCTTACTCCTCGAAGGTCGTGACAGAGAAGGAAGATCGCTTCCCGGAGGATTTTCTGGTTGGCCAAACCCACTCAACGACCGTCTCGCTACCTGACCGTCTTGAGCCCTTACGAAGCGGTCCGTATTTTCATCTTCGACAGGTAAGCCGTATCCATCTGTGAACATTCCCTCTCTTTCAAGGGCTGAAAGCCTCGCATTCTCAGGGGAAAGCACAGAGTTGGTCTGTGCTGCTCAGGTCTCCTCTAGCAATATATTACTCATGCTTATGACAGGTCTCACGTACGGTTCATGGAATGCAGTCCTCAAGACACGTGTTGGGGTGACAATGGCAAAGCACTCGGCGTCACGTTCGTACCCATGCATCGATACAACCCCGAGAAAGGCGTGCAGGGCTGGGAACACTGTGGTCTATCGAGCTATGAAAAAGGCGGGCAATACGAACTCATATACCTGGAAAACGGTCAATGGTGCTACTTTGGTACATATGAGGCCTTGGAAATCCGTAGCATACCCTTTGAGAAGGTCAAAGAGCTCGGACCTGACGTGAGTGCTTGTTCGACTTCTTACAATATAAATATGTATGATGATGGATTGCAGATTCAGAAATGTTTGATCGTTCGAACAATCACCAACAGGGATTTCGCTCCGCCGATCCTATCTGCCATGCTACAGAGTATGTACGCATCGGGTGCTCTGAGAGTAGAGTGCATGGCCATCCGGCGAATCGGGTTCAACAGCAACCTCTACAATGATCTTCTCGGGAGACCTAGTCGGAAGGGCGTTACGGAGAAGCTGCCCGCTTATATCCCTACACCAGGTCAAAAAGCCTCTCGAGGTAAAAAGCGCGAGTTTGAAAAAGTTGAGGGCCATCCTTCCGTGTCTGCGCAGGAACGTCGCCAAAGGACGAAAGGAGCAATAGCAGGAGGGCACGGAGGGCGAGAGTAGGCCCGCTCTCCTTGGCACGTCCGGGCACTGCGCTGTAGTATGTGGCAGTCGGCTCGTCTGCTCCCATTATGCGCAGTGTATTCGGTAGAACCCGTACTGGTGTACCCGCTTGTTTCGCTTGTGTCTACAATCTTTCCTTTGATCTTGTGATATCTATCGAACACCCAGCCTTCACCAGTACAACTCAGCGCCCCTACGGATTGGTTTCCCTACGGACCACTTATCAGGTTCGCGGCGGCGACTCAGTCCTCAACTTTGATGACCATATCCCCCACCTGGGATGCCTCTCCTTTTGTTCCTTGCGCACGCAAGGATTGCCCATAAACCCGTCCTACTCGTGATACATCAAGTTTTGAACATGCTTCTATTCCGTCACATCTATCATGCGATCATCAAGCTCCTGCTCTGTCTGTTCCTCACTTACTCCGCAGTACTACTTACCGCAAAGACCGCGGAGAATACGAGCTGATACCGAACAGTTGGTGCGATGGACTCAGCAGGAGCCCCGCCGCTGCACATCGATCTTTATTGCCCGACGCGGCAGTAAGGCCAGACATGTGGGCAGGTCAAGTAGCAAGAGACTCATGGCCGGGTGGAGGGCTGGCCAGGTCTTCAATGTTTAGGGCAGAATAAGCCGCTGAGGCCTGCGCTAGCGTTGTGGCATGTAGCGTGCCCTCATAAACGTCGGCCGATGAACCAGGATACAACACGCTCCCACCGATGGCAACGACAGTGCCGATGAAGAAGAAGGCACAGTCAGGGTGTTTTGTAGGCAGATACTTCGTCGTCAGAGAGGCTCGGCAGGCTGCAAGCGAGTCTGACTGAATGACCAGCTCGGGGTACAAGCTTTCCAGGACAATTACGCACCAATGTAAAGGCGGTAGACTCTTGCAGAAATGGATCGCAAAGCCGGTAGCGCCTGGAAATGTAGCAGACAGACTTGGGCAGAAGGACAGTATCCTTGGGGCGTCGATACAACTCTGGACTACTCTTGACGACGTTGCGGTTGATAGGTCAAGTACGAGACCAGCGTATCGGAAAGAAATGCCGATTGTCTCTGCCATCGAGTAAAGGGGAGATGCTGCCGACGATGTCGGTAAGGGAAGAAGCATGATCAAAAGAGACCTCCGGCCCCAAGATCGAAACATCCGTATATCAGATTGCCTTGCTTGCAGGATACTGGGCTTATTGAGTAGAGTCCGTTGATAATAGAGCAGGCGAATGACGGCGGAGATGATGAGGTCCAGTTCGGTGTCGGTATGTCCGTGGGGCGAGATCTCGGGCTCAGGGAAGGAGGAGGTAGGCGGAGGACGGGGTACTTGCTTGGTGGAGATACCACTGGCAGGACGGCCGTCCGAACCCTACTCTGAATGAGACAAAGTCCTCTCGAAGAGATCGATAGGCCGCTCGAAAGATGTTGAACAGTACTGATGCCTGAGGTCCGTCGCAGAGAAACTGGGCATGGAGCGACAAGTACACAGGTACTATACGACCTAGCTAGAGGCGAGAGAGGGCCAGTCGCTGTCGTGAAGCTGTTATTTGGGGCGTCGGAAGTTCTAATGATAACGCCGCTGGGTTCGAATCGCGGTGAGGTGACATCTTTTGGTTCGGGTTAAGCAGGAAAAAGAACCTGGGTATTTTCCTCCTAGTTTCGCCACGGTCTCTCAGCATCAGTCGAGCTCTCGGAGGAGAAACGTGCCCTCGAACCCAGTTGACACATTTCTGGTGCTTGAAATGCACTGTCCGGCCCCGACTAAGAGCGCCAGCTTGACACATGTGGCCGTAGAGCTGCGGAATAATATGATGAGCGCGGATGAAGGGATGATATGGATTTTGGTACCAAGTTTCCCAGCGCCCTGTGGTGTAGTGGTTAGCAGCCCTAGGGTAACACACACACACTATACACATGCATACACGCATTACACACATTACACTAGGGCCCCACCTCACAGCTTCACCACAAGGTCGGCGGTTCGATTCCGGCCGGGGCAGTATCTTTTGGCCACACTCAGTCTCAACGACTACCTACGACTACTGATTAATAAGATAATTATAGTGCTCGCGTTCGGTCGTGACGTGTATGACGTCGAGCCGCACGCTCTACTATATCATAGGTGCTCGTTCATTCGAGCTACTCAGCACGTCTCTTCTTTATTTCCCTGCTTCAGCTGGCTGGAGCTCTAGTAGTACTCATCCTCTCTGCGAAACCTGATCAGACTACCATCATGGCTGCATCTCAACCGGTCGACAATGCGGGGCCCATAACACGGCTGTTCGCGCTCGGAGAAGACCTGATTCACCTCGCCAATCTCGTGAGTTGCCTTCATTCGCACCGACCCCATCATCTCTGACTGTCAACCTCATGCGCAGATGGAACACCGCAGGGCTACGGGAGACAGCGAGCGGCTCCGGCAGGAGCTCCGCGCTGCACGAGCGGAAATCGCTCGTCTAGAAGCTGCCATTAAGGAGCGGCAACGCGTCCTAGCCGCCCCTGCTTTGGAGGCCGAAGAACGAAAGCCGGATGTTGCTGCGCTGGACGCGGTACAGTCTTCTGATCCTTCCACAGATGTCGTAATCCATGACCATTTGAATTCTAGTGGCAGCGGATAGTTAGCAGACTTGCTTCAAGGAAAAGGCAATTGGTGAGTGCTGCAGTGATGGTTACAAGTGTCTGGACTCACATTACGTTAGCTGGACGACATCCGCGGCCTGGAGGAGGATCTCGCGCAGGAGCAGCGCAACGATTCCAGAGCTCGGCTCATCGAAGCATTGCGATCGGTACTTTGTGTACTTCTTTGGCATTACGGTTTGCTCACAGCGCTGTCTAGCTCGCACCGCTTGCCTGCGCGCACTGTAAGGAGGCAAGTGCATCTGGATGTCCTTTTGTCTGTGGTGTTTGCCTATTAACACTTCGGCATTGCAGAACGTGTTAGACGCTGATCCGTGTGGCTTTCCCGAAGCTTTTCTGGAACAACAGCCATTGCGCGTTGTATACCCAATGAAGACGGCAACGGAGCATGTTTCAGATGCCCCCAATCTGTGTGAAGCTAAGGTAACACGCTGTCAAAGTATCGCTTTTGCTCGTATCTGACGTTTGGCCCAGGAGTATTTACGTGTTCTCATGTGTCTGATACCTGTCGCTGATATCTATCCAGAGCCTCGCAACCGTACTTTGCCTTGAAGAGCCCTGGGGTAAAATGGGCGAACGAGCATCGAACGCACGGCCTCGCCTTCGCCCCCTCTCACTACGGTGCCGTCGATGGCTCGCATATCAAGTGGGAACGAACCGGTTTCTCGGCATATCAACGGAACAGGTGCTACGATCTCTTCTGTCGGGAGCAAGATAAATGGTTCTATTCCGGCGTGTACGAGGTGGTCGGGCTCCGAACCATGCGTATGGATCAGTTCAGAGCCCAGAATCCTGATGTGAGTCATAGAAGGGCTGACCTTTCTCGTATCATGGCTGACCAGTTCGTCTAGATGGCCAACGGCATCATCTGCAACACAGCTGCTGTTGAAGGTCATCTATCAGAGTTGGTGACAGGCTTTTACGAACAGGGGTTGCTCGAGGTGGAGTGCATCGCTATCCGACGGGTCAAGTTCAAGCGGTCCGTCTATGAGTCCATGGTGGAACGTCGGAAGGGCCTTGAGGCGAGGGCAAGGGGGGCTCGGATTGCCTCGGATGTCCGGCGACAGGGCGAGGGAACCAAGCGCGGACTCGAACAACCGGATGAAGGCGAACCCACGGAGAACAACGCGCCAGCGAAGAAAGCGAAGATGGGACGACTACCAGCTCTCCTTGATAACAGCGGCGGTCAGGCGTTCCGCGGCATCAGGACGAGAAGAGGCAGTCTCGTCATTTATGAAGGTTCTCGCTCTCGGCGGTAGTCAAGCTCCTTTCTGGTCCTGGGATCCACGAGTCTCTCTTGGTCTTCGATGTCTTCTCCCATCCGTCTTGTCTATCTCTTTCTCGGCCTCAGTCGACTTCCCCCTGCCTCGTGCTTGTTAGCAGAACAATACAACGCGCCCAGCACACCCTATTGTGTCGGGAACCATCCAGCCGCATGCACTGTCTCAGTCGACCACACTACCTGGAACTCCTGGCGATGTCCGCACTGTCACTCTCTTTCGTTCTCTCTAGTCCCATCCTCTTTTTCTATCTTGCGGCCACGACGTGGCACGTGTGAGCGGTCTTTTAATGCATCCTATCATTTTGTACCCTTGTATCGTGGAATAAATTCATTTGCATGGCGACATGAGGAATCCAACTGGCAGAATGCGTGGAAAATGAAATCCAGTTCGCGGTGTCGTGACTTCCGCCGTAGTGCTGGCCTGACGAGCCCATATGCAACTGTTCTTAATATGCCTTCTTTGACATACGTAGTCTTTGACATACGTAGTGTTTCACCGTATGATTTCTCTTGTATGCTGCCACATTTAACGGTTCCAGTGGGAAGGTGGGAGGGCCTCCGAGAGCTGCAAAACTATTGCCCAGGCCGGAATTGAACCGCCGGCCTTGTGGTGAAGCTGTGAGGTGGGACCCTAGTGTAAGGTGTGTAATGCGTATATGCATGTGTATAGTGTGTGTGTGTGTGTGTGTATTACCCTAGAGCTGCTAACCACTACACCACGGGGCGTTGGGAGGCTGCGTACCTGGTATCCCCCTGATCACCTCATCCGCGCTCATCCTATTATTCCTCAGCTCGACAGCCTCATATGTAGTGTATCTTCCATTACGAGTAGACGGTCTTCAAGCACCACAATTAATATGTTAACTGGGTTCGAGGGTACATTCCTCCTGCAAGAGCTCACTTATGCACGACGACACAACTGAGACTGTAGGTAAATTAACGACTGAGAGAAAAATATTCAGGTTGGATGCTTAACGCGAGGCAAAAGATGTCGCCTGGCCGCGATTCGAACCCAGCGGCGTTACCGTTAGAACTTCCGACGCTCCAAAGTGGATCCAACAATGGACGTCTTAACAGCTTCACGACGGCGACTGGTGTCTTGGCCCGCTTTAGAGCAACTCATAGAAGGTGCGGTGCACTTGCTCTGGTCCTCCGCAGGTACCTTCGCGGCACAAACATCTTTCCGCGACAATGGCACACGAAGTCGCAGCTATGATTGAACGCTTACAGGTTTTTCTTACGAATTCTAGGAAGTTGCCCTTACCTCCTGCCTCCATCACATGGGCCTCAATTACTTATGTGGCATGTAGGTAGTCATTACGGGCTCATCACATGACGAGCGAGTATGACGTCTAGCGGCTTGTTCGGTGCTTGTGCGACTCGTTCTCGTCCTTCGTTCTGTGTCTGCAAGTGTCTGCAAGTCTTCCCCCACCATCAGTTGGCTAGAGCTGTTGTTTCTGTGCACTCCCTTGGCAATCCTTAGTACTACTAGACACGGACTACCTCATGGATGCATCTACACAAGCCCACGAGGCTATGGCGTCCGCCCGGTTGAGACGCTCTTGGGAGACAACCTGGTTCATCCTCGGAAGGATGTTCTGAAAGATGCGAAAGACGTCGAGGTCGTGAGTGTTTTCACGTGGACCTCATTACCTCCGATTAGTAGGAGCTGAGAGCTCGTACACTTTTCGGGGACCACAAGCAGTTGCGGGAAAGACTTCACCTTGAAAGAGAAGAACCGGCACGTCCACAACATGTGATGCGTGAATCGCTCCATTCATTGGTCGTCCTGACAAATGATCTGGAGGGCCGAGGACAAGACGTTGCCGCGCTGGACTCGGTATGTTTGTCTCAGAGTTGAAAGCCGTCTCCGTCCATGACCTCTCGAATCAGTGGCGACAGGAAGTCGACAGATTCAATGACCTTATTTCGGAGAGAATGAGACGGAAAGGCGATACGTGAGTGATGAAAATATGTGGTTGCAACGTTGAGATTCCCGATTCCATAGCTTGAACAGATCGACGCTCTGAAGAGGGATCTTCTGGAGCAGGACTCTAGGGCTCGACTATCAGAGGCGCTGCAATTGGTATTGCACGTGCTACCGTGCTGGTACTTTTCTACTGACATTGCTATCCAGGACGGACGTCTTTCTTGTGGCCACTGCCAGGAGGCGAGTGCAGGTGGATTTCAGCTCATACTGTTATCTAAGAATTCCAGTCATGCAGTTTTTCATGAAGGCCGTTGGACAGTCTTTCGAGGAGGCTTTTCTTGAACAATTATCAGCGCCTGTCGTTGGTGTACCAAAGATCGGGAGAAAGCGTGCCATAGAGCCCGTCTCTTATACATCCGATTTGCACTTAAACAACGTAAGACGATGTGTTCTAAGGTCGCTCTCACCCTGAATAATTGTTACTGCTCAGGGACAAGAGAACTGGTGCGTGTCTGCATGTATCTAGCTTTCTTGGCGACTCAGCGCTAGCACCCATTGTCCGCGAGGGGGTCCAATAATTCCAGAGTAATAGGACGTTAGAAGGCTCCCGCTCCCAACGCTAGTCGAGTTCCTCTGCGGCGGTGCCGTCCTCAAGCTTCCTTCCAGGCTCTGTGATACCCAGCAAATCTTCCATAGTCTCCGCGGTCTCTCCCCCTACTCGTCTGGTCTGGTTTTTCTGACGCTTACTCGGCTTCCAGCTGCGGCTTGCTCCTAGCAGAAGAACGCGAATATGTGCAGCACACACTATTGTCCCAGGATTTGTCCCGCCACATACACTCGGTTCTCAGTGGACCACACTCCTGGCGATGTCCATACTGTCACTCTTTGATCTCTCTCTAGCGTCATCCTGACTTCTCCTTTTGCGGCTACGACGTGGCAGGCGTGATTGGTCTTTTGATGTATCCAATTGTTTTGTACCCTTAATGCGAGTATGCGTGGAATAATCTCCCATGCGTGACGACATGAGGAGTACATCAAAGATGCTCGATGTAATTCTGTTCGCCCGTACCATGACTTGCGATGAAACCCCCGTAGGACTGGCTTGACAAGCTCGTATATGACTGCATGCCTACAATACGCGGTCTTCCGCC